ATATATATAGAAACAGGATACCAATATAACATGTGCTCTGTTTTTTTTATTATTTTATTTTGTGAAAAATGTGTGTGTGTATATGTGAGTGTGTGTAAAAGTATGTAAAAAGTGTGTATGTGCATGTAAGTGTGTGTGCGTGTGTGTAAAAAAGTGTGTGTGTGTGTGTAAAAAGTGTGTATGTGTATGTGTATGTGTGTGTGTGTGTGTGTGTGTGTGTGTGTGTGTGTGTGTGTGTGTGTGTGTGTGTGAAGAGTGTGTGTGTATGTGTGAATATGTGTAATTGTGAAACTTGAGATATTAAACCTAAAAGTTGAGATATTCACCCTCATAAGTTGAATTAAAGATGCAATGAATCCATGTGGATCCAATCCGGATCGGTCTAAACTCGATCCACATTAAATTCATTCATGTAGGTTGATATTGGATGCGGTTCCTTTTGAATCCGATCCACATGGATCTGGATCGGATCCGGTCCAAGTTGAGAAATTGCCACCCCTAATTAAATACTTAAGATTACTATTAGTTATGTATTGATTTCTTAAAATGATCGATATAACTATATTCGATTAATTGGTCCAACAACAATTAGATGTTGTTTATTAAAATATGTACATAACGCAAGATAATATTTTTAAATTTTAAAATGTTGCACTTTTCAATATATATTTTTAGTTGTATAATTTAATTATTCTTTTATTTATTCCTTTCAATACAGGAGAAAATTTTAAGGTATTATAATTTAAAATACAAATTAAATTGTGCTAGGGGTAAGTGTTACAAATAATACTTTATGGAGTAAGTGTTACAACGTGTATACTTTAGGGGTGTAAACTGTATTTAACTCTAAATTTTAAGCCATAATGAAAAAAGGGAGAACATATGATATAACTAAATCTAGCATCATATAACTAAGGGTACTTTACAAATAAGCCTATCAATGGGTACTTATTTATAAAGGGGTCCAGACAAAAAAAATTTTTACAAAAAAAAAAATTCCACACATTGTCTAGAGGTTTATAAAAGACTAAAATAGTCCATCACATATTAATAATATTACAATTTCATCCTTTAATTTAATTTAACCTCAATTTGACCCCATATTTCACAAATTATTCAGTTTTGACCCAAAACACAAAGTTGAGTACAATTTAGTTCGTCGCCGCCGTTGACCGCCGGTCTCTGGCATTGACTTTTTTTTTTGATTTTTTTTTCTTTAACATCTTTTTGCCCCCCGTTTAAACAACAATATTGTTGTGTAATATTAACTATATTACTGTTAAACACAGTAATATTAACTATACTACAGTTTAACACAGTAATATTGCTATATTAATCTCTAGCACAGTAATATTAACACAACAAAAGTCATTATTATTGTGCAATAGGGTAATATTAATATGTTGACCGTTCAACAAAGGTAAACATAATAAAAGGCCAAAAGAATTAATATTGATGTGGTTGACAGAATTAATATTGATGTGGTTGACAATAATATTACTGTAACAACAGTAATAAATTAATTTCATTTAATATAATTTATTTTGACAATACTTAGTTATTGGCTGTTGTTCAAAATAATTACTTGATGTTATTAAAAAGAAGAAAAAATGAAAAAGGAGTGTTTTGGAGAAATAGAAGTTGGGTGAGAAGAATTTAACTAGAAAGATATGTGTTCATGTTACTATTATCTTCATTTCCAATCTGCAAATTATATTACTTTTAGTCGATATTTATTATTTTAATGTTGCTATTTTATATGCTAATTTCATTTAAGTAAGAAATGCATTTTTTTATTTAACTTTTGTAAAATCTAGCTTAAGTTGTTGCTTATACTAATGTTTACAATTTACCGTATGCATGCACATAAGTTAATACAATTCCTAATTAAAAATATATACATGTCGTGCATTGTATAAGGATTTGGAGAGAAATCCTTATGAAGCTGATGAACGCAGATAGCCACCGGGACAAGTTCCGAGACCACAACAACAATCTATGATTTATTGGTTATTAGTTATTGGTGACCACAACATCAAGTTGAGATAAATTGGTTATTGAATCGTGAGAAATGAAACGTACACCCCTTAAACTATGAAAACGTACCCGTTAGCCTATGATTGTTTTCTTTCTTTGTTGTTGTTTGGAAGTAGGGATTTATTTGTATAATGAATTCATCCAAACAAGTTAAATGAATTTTTATTAAGAATTTCAAATTCATGGCTTATTTTTTTCCGCTAATCCTCCACCTTGAAGAATTTAGTGAATGAGTACTCGCTAATTGCTATATAGTCGATATTTTCATTTGCTTTGTTTGGATTTTACTCATAATAGAAGTATGTATGTACTTCAGATTAAGTTCATGTAATATTGTTGCCTAATAAATCATTTATAGTTCAAAAAAATAAAATAAAAATGTGTCTTAAAAGCGATTCATATTGCTTGTATATTGACACTCTGGTGGGCGTGGAGTTGCGCTTATTTGTCGTGTATTGTTGTTAATTAATTTATGATTATTATAATATTTTTTAATGCATATTGACGGATTCTTTAACATGACTTGACGACATTTGGTCACTCTGTAGGATTTTATAGTATAGGGAGATATATACGAGAGTACTGATGATAGTACGAAGGTGCAATTTGTATTTAACCCTTCCATAATACGATCTCTTATACAAAATCATGGCCACTCGTGCTTGGCAAAAATCCATCAAATCTAGTCGAATGTATTTATGTTTATCAAAATTTAAAAGTTTCTAGTTAAATTGACATTGAAGTCGAGTACGAATGAACTTTAATCAAAGCGAATATGAATTGAACTCAAGGTTTATTGCCTTCGACACAGGTTGATTCATTACTAACACCAAAATGCAACTAGTTACTATAAAGTTGAGCAAAGATCTTCATCCTTCGGTAAAAACTCGCACGGAGATGTTCGAAATCCATACATTAATTAGCCAATCAACTAGTATGTACTGTATGAGAAGCAAAGCATAATAATAAATAGCATGTATAATAATAAATCACTAAGTTACAAGAAAGCTATAACTGCTTTTCTTGCATCAAATCATCAGTGAAACTGAAACTGAAACGCTGAAGAAAGCTTTTACTTATTACCAAAATTTGGCCCTTTTATTAATTTATTATTGCAATCTTTAAACCTTTAGCAGATAAATCTGCTCCTCCTTAACAAGCCGACTCCTCAGTACACTCGAGCCTTGGGAGGGAAAGTTTCAATTTCATCATCGAGCGTATTCATGTGAACTGGTCGGTAATCCAGTCGGACTTTCTCATTTTCCCAGTATCTGCACATCACATAATTAAAATCAATTTTAAAAAAGGAAAGGAAAAAAATGGACCTTCGGATTCCGTGAGAACATAAGAAAAAGATTCTAGTGAGCAAAGCTTACCCTAATGTATGTTTCATCCATTTCTCATCATCTCTTGTCTGCAAAGCAAATATGTGTACACGGTTAGTCGGTTATACATAAAGATGAAGAAATTTCCAAGCTTCTAGAAACCCCCACCCCCGAAAATATATATATATATATATATATATATATAGTGAAGGATTTTGGAACTCACAGTGAAATCTTCACGTGCATGAGCTCCTCTACTTTCTTTCCTGGCTTCAGCCGAATGCATAGTGATGCATGCGTTAATCAACAGGTTTTCCAACTCAATGGTCTCGATCAAGTCAGAGTTCCTACACAACAAAGTCGAAACAGGTGGGGGGGCCAATAAGGTAAAATGACCATATTATTATTCACAAATAACTCACAATAGGTGTTTCAGAGACGAGAATATACCATATCAAGCTTCTGTCCTCCACCTTGACATCATTGAAACTCTCCCAGGCTTTGTCAATCAACTTACAGCCTTAAAAAAGACAGATAAAAAAAGGGAACAAGAAAATGAGATGAAACATTGTCGTTATATTTGGCTGAGGTGAGAGCAAAGGCAAAGGAAAAAGGAGTTCCTGTTTGAATTAATACCTTCCTCCAGAGTTTCTTGTGTCCTAAATACAGCAGCATTGTTTTGCATTATCCTTTGCATGTTCAACCGGATTTTTGAGGTGGGAAGGGAACCATTTGAATTCCGAAGCTTGTCCAACCATGCAATTGTTTTCTCTCCAGCGTCCTTCTCTAATGGCTTCTGTTTCTCTCCTGCAATATTTCAAAGTGAATGTAACTCAAAACTGTATTTTTAGATAGATCGTAAAAGCACAAAATGAACAGAAAATTTTGGGTACCTGGCTTATGGATCTCTGCAACCCTGTTGGCACACGCACGGCCAAAGACAACAATGTCAAGAAGTGAATTGGCTCCAAGTCGATTGGCTCCATGAACAGATGCACAGGCAGCTTCCCCAGCAGCGAATAGCCCAGGAATAATAGCATCGGGATTGTCACCTTTGATCGTAACAACCTTTAATAAAAATAAAAGGAAACAATTAGGACAAAGAATACGGATGTTCTTAATGTATACTCAGTGTCATGCTGTAAATTCTACCTCTCCATGGTAATTTGTTGGAATTCCACCCATGTTATAATGGACGGTTGGTAAGACAGGGATTGGCTCCTTTGTGACGTCAACACCAGCAAAAATGGCGGCGGTTTCAGAAATACCTGGAAGTCTTTCTTGAAGAACCTCCGGAGGCAAATGATTCAAGTGAAGATAGATGTGGTCTTTCAAAGGTCCTGTAGGAAGCCAAGAATTGTGTCAGAATTCAGGCAATGATAAGAGTTAAGAATTAAAGGAGAATAAATTCATTTTCTTAAAAATGCATATTATCAGACAAAGAAGATTTTTGCTGAACAGAAAAAATAAACACTAAGACACTCCTCAGGCTACGTGATAGATAACATATAGCATTCAACCCAGAACCTGTGAATTAGGCTCTCAAGTGGTAGCATATGCACTTGCAAACCACAAATTTGAACTATAAGATGGTAGGTAAATACTGTTTACAGTGACTGCACTCAACAGATTGGCTATGTCACCTGGAAGTCTGGATCCCCGACACAATATCAAATAGTTTTGGTTATTAGAGAAGTAAGATGGGCAATTCCAAAACTATGGGTTTTCTTTTTAGCTCTACTTTGATATATTCAAAAGAGTACGAACCAGAGCTGTCATGAGTAGACTTGAAACATCAGGCAAATGTGGACTAATACGAAGTGAAAATTTGATCTATCCAAATCTAAAGTAACCACATACCAACACCACGCCCTTCTCGGATCTCCATTGTCATAGATCTTGAGACAACATCTCTAGATGCAAGATCCTTGGCTGTTGGGGCGTACCGTTCCATGAATCTTTCACCTTCACTGTTCCTAAGAATACCACCTTCACCTCTGGAGCCTGAGCATGGTAAAAATGAGCAAAGAAAAATAAAAAAGTTGTTAAGTTGAGGCAATAGGAATAAAATAAATGCCTGATGAAGAGCAAAGATAAAGACCAAATGAATTAACCTTCAGTAATGAGACACCCAGCACCATAAATGCCGGTTGGATGAAACTGAACAAACTCAAGATCCTGCAAGCAGAACTCACAGTATAAGTAGCTGGCTAGTTGCAGAAATCCAATTCGAATGAAACTCATTTAGAAGATAAAGATTCCTTCTCAATACCCCTCTCCTCAAAATTATCCTATTAATTAAAGTTATACAAACCTCGAGAGGTAGCCCAGCACGTGATACCATGGCATTGCCATCTCCGGTGCAAGTGTGAGCTGAAGTTGCAGAAAAGTACGCTCTACCATAACCCTGAAAGGTACATCAGAAAAAGCATTATTTTACAGGGAGGGCTGCAAATACTAGAAAGAGCAATTTGAGGCATCGCTGATGTATGCCTGAACAAATTGTTCAACAATAGATTGTTACCCCAGTAGCAAGAATCGTTGAGGCAGAACGGAACCGATGTAAGGTGCCATCCTCCATATTTAAGGCAATTACACCTTGACAGCTACCTAAAAATCAATAAGCAAACACCACCTCGATAGTTAGAAATAAATACAAATTGCATGTAACTTAATCTGAATATAAAGGACTTCCACTAGTTTATTCAAGTCTATATAAACTCTAGAAGTTCTATTTTTCTTACAGCAACTAACTAAGACTGCATCATGAATACAGAAAAATATGTGGGAGCTATCCAGTAATTTTTTCAGATGCATGAAGACGGATGGAAGGGTTAAAATGGAAAGTCCAAATCAAATTAAAAAGTGAAGAGATCAGAATACATGGAAGGCAATTCGCAAAAACCTACCATCACTGCCCATGAGTAAATCAAGGGCAAAGTATTCCACAAAAAATTGAGTGTTATGTTTCATAGCCTGGCCATATAGAGTGTGCAACAAAGCATGTCCAGTTCGATCAGCAGCACATGCACACCGATACGCTTGCCCGCCTATGGGAAATAGAGATTGCTCAGTCAAAAAGATTTTGAAAAGAAAAGGAACCGTGTTTCTACTGAAAATATCACCATACCTTTTCCGAAATTCAAGCTTTGACCACCAAATGCACGTTGATATATCTTTCCATCCTCAGTCCGGGAGAATGGTAGCCCATAATTTTCAAGTTCTATAACTGCTTTTGGTGCTTCCCTACACATGTACTGAATGGCATCCTGGTCGCCTGTGAATAACCAAATCCCGGTTGCATAAAGATATATAAAGTGAAAGACATAGAAGATATTAACCATCTCATTGGCAATTTTTGGAGTTAGTGAATCATGTTACACCTCATAACTGATAAACAAACAGCACAGTTGGTACCAAAACCACTACAAGGACAATGACTGCCAAAATTATTTGTAATTTATATTTCTGAATCTAAGGATGTTCAAATCCTACTCAACTTAAAAACAAAATGCTGATATGAAACAAGAAGAAAAACAAGCAACCACTTGGCTTCCAAAGGATTGATTAGACCAGAAGTCAGGCTTGTATCAGAACTATACCTAGCCAATCGCTTCCCTTTACTGTGTCATACATGTGCCACCTCCAATCATCCTCTGTCATATTTCCCAACGCAGCATTTATTCCACCCTGCAGAATTCAGCAATAGTATGTCATGACTAAATAAATTGTAATACACTGGAGTTCAAAGATCATAGATACTGCTCGAAGAAACCATATTTCCCATGATAAACTGATACCACTATTTCTTA